GAATGTTTTTCCCTTATTCCATACTTGCTTTATTCTTCATAAGTGCTTAGCACCATATAAGGAAATTTATAAAGACCTTTTAACTAGAAGCAAGCAATCTAAAATTACATACATTTTGCAAAAGGTAAAGCATGGATCTGAAGATAATGCAGAAAAATGCTCAGAGGATAAGGATAACTTGCCAAAAAGAAAACGCTCTCGGTTAATTAATAGTGTTTTTAGTGATGATGAAGAAAACATTGTTTAATTTATATTAATATGCATCACTTAAAAAATTTTAATGAAGATATTTATCTTAATTATGAAAATATACTAGCATGTTTTTTAATTTTTGGAACCTAACCCTCCTTTTTGTATTAGTTCTTTGTTTCGTATAACACGGATTCGCATAACACGGCAATTTTTTGGAACGTAACTACCGTGTTATACGGGGGTTACCTGTATTTATTAGAAAACTTTATAACAGTACGAAGTAAACTATAATTATTTGTATGTTTATACTTCAAAAGTTTGAAATAATATTATATTTATAACTAAAACGATCTCTTAGCTAGGTGTTATTTAAATCACCAAAATTATGAAAAGGCGAGTAACAAATTCAAATTGCTAATTTTAAAATTTACTTCATTATAGAACAAAACAGTTGTCCAAAGACTGGCAATATGAAAATCCTTATAAACAGTAACTTTATACCTGTAAATTATTTCTAATAAAATTTAATGGCAGAATTAAACAGTTCAAATACTTAGCAATACACTAAAAATAAAACTTCTAAAATCACTTTTAATCTGGGTATCTCCTTGTCATAGTATAATTTCAGTTTTAACACGAAGGATTAAATCTAAATTTGTAAATGATTTCAAGTTTTCAAACTTCATTATAAATAAAATAACGTTAGATAGAAAAGGAAACTAATATATCCCAAAACAGTAATGATTTAAAGACAATTTTCTTGGAAAACAGACCTGTCTAGTATTTATATTGAGTGACCAAACAAATAAAATTTAATTAAAAGATCTAGTCGTGGAGTGAGCTGGCTTTGCTTGTTACTGTTCTGTTATTAGAAGCATTTAAATCTTAAACATTTATTTAACTACAGTCTCAAAAGATAACATTTGAAACTCTTTGTTGATGCACTAAATCTATTCCTCACAAGTAAGCTTTTTATTTGATTACTGTGTAATTATTTTATATGTAAATTGTTTTAAGAAATTAAATTTTTTTTAATTTGCAAAATACAATTAGCATTGTAAAGTCATGTTTCCGTTGCCTTCCATGTTTCGAATTCAAATTTCAAATTTGAATTCGAAACATGGAAGGCAACGGAAACATGACTTTACAATGCTAATTGTATTTTGCAAATTAAAAAAAATTTAATTTCTTAAAACAATTTACATATAAAATAATTACACAGTAATCAAATAAAAAGCTTACTTGTGAGGAATAGATTTAGTGCATCAACAAAGAGTTTCAAATGTTATCTTTTGAGACTGTAGTTAAATAAATGTTTAAGATTTAAATGCTTCTAATAACAGAACAGTAACAAGCAAAGCCAGCTCACTCCACGACTAGATCTTTTAATTAAATTTTATTTGTTTGGTCACTCAATATAAATACTAGACAGGTCTGTTTTCCAAGAAAATTGTCTTTAAATCATTACTGTTTTGGGATATATTAGTTTCCTTTTCTATCTAACGTTATTTTATTTATAATGAAGTTTGAAAACTTGAAATCATTTACAAATTTAGATTTAATCCTTCGTGTTAAAACTGAAATTATACTATGACAAGGAGATACCCAGATTAAAAGTGATTTTAGAAGTTTTATTTTTAGTGTATTGCTAAGTATTTGAACTGTTTAATTCTGCCATTAAATTTTATTAGAAATAATTTACAG